TGGACAGGAGACTGAGGTCCTGGCGTGGGGCTCCCAGCACTCACTTCCCTCCCGGCCTGCTAGCTTCGGGGTGGGGGGGTGTCAACGCTTAGGTCCCCAGGGGCAGCCAGAGGGCTCCCGCGGGGGCTGAGGCCACGCTATCTGGGCACGTCCAGAGTGGGGTTCAGAGGGGAAGATAAGCTGCTGCCGCACCCACTGCCAACAGGCTGGCATTCCTCAAAGCCAAGGGCTGGGGTGGAACAGGGGGGTCCCCGGAAAGGCACCTTCCAGGTTCCCTGCCCCACCCAGAGGGAGGGTGGAGCTGAGCAGAGAAGAGAGGAATCTGGCGAGGAAGGAAGCAGGGTGGAGCCAGAAGGGAGCCACGTGGCGCAGAGACATGTGAAGGAACTCCGCCTGGTTCTGGTCCCGCTCTAGGTGAAACAGACGTGGGTGAGGGCCCGTGGGGCGGTGGCTGTGGCAGTGTTGACACTGACTTCGAGTGTGCTCTTTCCCCCCAGCCTTGTCTGGCCGCGTCTGACCTTTTTCTATGGGTCCCGGCCAGAAGGTGCTTTAGACTGTGGCGGCTTTCAGGCCTTGCTCTGGGCCGATCCCTTTTGGGTGGACTTTTGCCCGCGAGGGGACGGGTCACTCAGGTGTCTGATTGAGAAATTATATGCTTTGTCTTCCGTGTTGTAGCCTCACTGTATTAAAGTCCCTTTTCGTTAAAGTTTTATCTGTTTTGTCTTGAGGCAGCGGAGGGCAGAACCCACTTAGAGCAGGCAGGTTTGGGGGTTCAGGAGTGTCCCTCTCTCCCGGCCCTGTAAGAGGGTCAGTAGTCTAAAACAGCCTGGCCCCCGCCCTGGGGCCCCTCATGGGAGGCAAGGCGCTGCGGTTATCAGCAAGAGCCATCCCTTCATGGGCCCAAGCCATGCGCGTGGGGCCTCTCCTGAACCCTGCTCTTGACGGACGGGGAGGCCTGCCCTGGGCCAGAGTCAGAGCAGTCCTCTGGGGACACCGTGCCTGCAGGAGACGGGCCCGACCCAGCGCGGCCGCAGGGAGCTTTCAGAGCTGCCGAGCGCTGGGGGCCAGGCGAGGTTCGGGCTGGACATGCCAGGCTGACCGGCTGCGCAGTCGGGGTGCGGCACAGAGGCCCGGCGAGCGGGCAGGAGGTGGCAGCCAGCGATGCCCTGCATGCAGCGAGAGGCGGGATGTGCCAGGGCCCAGAGCAGCGGGGGGAGGGTCCGGAGCTGTAGTGAGGGAGCACCAGAGCCTGGGTCTCCCCGCTGGCAGCCAGGGCGGGGTCCAGGAGACACCGATGCGGGATTTATCAGGGGCGACATGGGGACTGTCCCTGATGCCCACGTGCAGACCCCAAGCTGGGTGCTTCTCCTCGGGTCATTTCACCCTCACACCGGCTCTGCGAGGGGCCAGGCCTCCTCTCACAGAAGCCCAGAGAGCGAGGGACGCAGCCCAGAGAGAGGATGAACCAGCAACGCCTGCAAGACCCCCCAGGCTATTTCCTGTGCTTCTGCTCAGCTTGCTCTGCTCAAGTCACATGGACCCCCCGAGCACGCCCAGTGCGCTTCCCACGGCCCCTTACAGGACTCAGAGCTGGGGATCGTCGGCTCCTCAGACAGACTGTCCTGGACCAGACTGCTCTGGACCTGCTGAACCCCTGCATCACCATGTGAACCGGCCTCTGTGTTTTCCAGCCTTTGCATTGTGTACTGCAGGGCCCAAGCTTCTCCAAGCAACGGGGCTTCGGGAGTGCAGGGACTGCCTTCTGCCCAGATGTATTCCTAGAAGATGACCCACAGTCACATCTCCTTTCTACAAATAGGAACGCCGAGGCCGGCCAAGCGGAGCAGGCGCGATTTGCCTAATCTGACGGTTAGCAGGTGTCAGGCCTGGGATGCCCATCGGAGGTGCCCTGGCCCTGTTCCTGCTGGAGGAGCCCCTTTTATATGCATACGTGTTTTCTAAAGAGAGGTCCTGCCCTCTCTTTATCGGGATCATTTTCCAGGGTTGTGTCTGCAGCAGGCAACCCTGAGACAAGAGGTCACATCTCCCTCAGGGACAGAAGGCAGTTTACCGGCTGCTTGCAATACAGCGGTGGGGTCAGCTCGCTGTTCCTGTTTTATGCTGCCGCCCTTCTCTGTGCAAGCTGCAGCCGGAGACGGCCTCGTGGCTCGTGCCTGGAGGCTGCTGTGGCCTGGCTGCCATGTTGGGGCCGTGGGAGCCAACACCAACCTCAGCTCGTCTGCTCACTGGGCTATCAGCCGCAAAGCCCTTGTCTCCGCCCCGGGAGTCTGAGTCCCCACCCGGCACCCTTGAAAGTGAAACGCCAACAGGCTACCTAATTAGCGTCTACGTAGAATCCAGGCCAATCCCAGACCTTCCCCTTCTGCCGTTTTCCTTTCCACCTGCTGGAGCGATTTCTTACCACCAAATGCGTCCCCCGCGATGGCATGCCTGTCACCGCCTGCCACGGAGACTTCGTGTCTCAAATGCCACCTGAAACAGGATTATTTTTCTGTTTCTCCACCCCTCCCTTTCTAAATTTGCATGAGGCTGGATCTACTAGATCACAAGCCCAAAGAAAAACTGATGCAGTTGAATAGGAGAGAGAGACAGCAGCTTTAGTTAGTAAACTAAAGAGCATGCTTTGCCAATGCCTTAGGGTTACACACTGGGGGACACAGATAACAGAGAGGTGAACATCCCTGTAAGTTTATACTCTCGTGACCTTGAGCTTGAGTTCAGCCAAGAACCCTCTGGAATTCAACCAAATGGAGGAAGTGGTTGAACCTACCCTGGGGGTGAAGAGCACAACCTGTCTTTCTTCATTTGTAGCCCTGTGTTACAGGTGTGGAGCTCTTGGTATCTTGGTCCTGGCCCCTCGGGAGGACCTGCTTAACAGGCAACTAGGTGGACAGGTAACCCAAGTGCAGTGATGGATGATGGGCTTGCTGGTCGACCGCCAGGCTGCTGCTGTGTAGGGAGGAGCAGGTGGGGCTGGACTGAGGCTTCACCACAAAGAGCTTTGTGAGATGCTCACAGGCCAGTAACCAGGCAGAACTGCTTTCTGATTATTATTTTTCCAGCTGAATGAGATTCAGTTAATGGAAGACTTAATAGGTCCTTCTGGGCCCTGAGGAAAGAGACACGTTGCTTTGCTCCTGGAAATGAGCTCTGGGCTCTGCAGACGGTGTCTCTGACCAGGGAGAGATGAGGACTGCTTGAAGCTTTTATCTGAATGCCCGAGGCAGGACCACCAAGGCCGTGGCCCCCTGCATCGTGATTCTCTCTGTGCAAGTTGGAGGTCACAAAATCAAAGCAGAGCTGCCCGAAGGCTCTGTACCTGCACCTGGTGCTGCCTGGCTGGGAGGCAAAGGCATTTCAGCATCACAGAGGCATGTGGGGGAGCTGGACTAGAACATGGGGGAGACATGACGGCCCCAGGTTGAAAATCAAGGCTGTAATCTGGGGACTATAGTATTTATAGTGTGTCTCTCCCAGGGACAAGCAGATCAGTCATTCTCCGGGGAAGATCCAGAGCTCAGTCTACAGCTGCCCTTGGCTTCTGCAAAACAAAACCAAAACTACGAGGCAACCATGCTTTGGCAGGTGGGGGGCAAGGGCAGGATCCTCCCCTTCACTGCTGGCTGCCCACAGGGCAGGATGTGAGCACAGGAGGCCCCTGGGGGGCCCTTGGGGCTGGTTCCTGAGAGCCCAGAGCCTCCGGGTGACAGCTGCAAGCCTCAGCCACAGGGCTCCTTTCTGAGCCCAGCTGGGTTTGTCCTCACAGGGACACCCATGGAAGACGGAGTGGTCTCCAACAAACAGTACCACCCCCGTCGGCTCTCTCCTCCCCAGAGGCACTTTCTGGTCAGCACTAGAACTGGTGGTAGAGGGGGCCACAGCCCAGGCATCCCGCTTGCTGCACCTGCACAGGGGCAAACGGAGACCCAGTGACAGAAGGCTTTGGCCGAGCCACACCAAGAACCAGCGATCAGCCTTCCGGACAAAGACATCTGCCTGCACCCTGCCACTTTCCGTGTCTACAGCCGCTCTTACTCAGATGGAAACTCGCTACCGAAACAGAGATTTTCTGGGAGGCTGGTGGGCCCCTGTCCAGCTGCCTGTCCTCCTCACCGCCCCTAAGGTGGTTTGAGAACCGAAACCCTTGCCGTACCCACTGTCGGGGCGGGGAACTCCAGGTGTCACAGACCCCCACCTTGCCCAGGGTTTCCCTGGAGACTTCAGGGAAGCCAAGAGGCAGTTAACATGGGTCATGTGACCAAGTAGGGGGCGCTCACTCTTGGGCTGGTCAGAAGCAGGCTCTAGGAAATTTTGTAGAAAGAAGGCGGTGGGTTTTGAGGAGGAAGAGGAGAGGTGTGCTCCTGATGAAGACAAAGGAGGGGGGTGAGACGCAACAGGGCCAGGAGAAAATGGAGAGAGCTGCGTGGCGGGAGGGGAGGGCAGAAGGCGGGTGGCGGTGAGAGGCAGCTCCTGCTGGCTGTGGCGTGGGGTGCTGGGCCCTCCCAGCCCGAGGAACCCCCCTCCACACCTGTCCTGCCCTCCTCCCATCACGGCATCAGGAATCACACCTCCTAAAACGCAGTGAAAGACAAGTCCATCTTCAGAACCGCCTAGAGACGTGCTCCGCGTGTGGAACACGCCATCCTAACCCGCAGCAGCACGCGGGAGACCTGCCAGCGTGTCTGAAAACAGAGGCAACGGGGCGCCGGGAGCGAGCACTTAACCAGGCGCGTTCAGTGGTCAGACAGACACCCCCTCCGTGACCACTGCCTGAGGACAGGGCAGGACCGGGAAGGACTGCTTGTCTGCCGAGTCTGTGGGGCTCTGGGCACCGGAGGATACGCACAAAGAGACACAGCCCCCCACACGTGAGTGGAGGGGGACAATCCTTTCAGCGCAGTTTGAGGCAAAGTACACAAGAAGACCGCCGGCTTAGGAGTCAGAGAGAGTCGGGTGCAAATCCCAGCTCTGCGGCTTACCAGCTGTGTGACCTCAAGGGAGTTCCTCAACCTCTCTGAGTCGCAGTTTCTTTATCTGAAAAACAGACAAAAAATACTCAGACTGAGCACGGGAACGGGGTGAAGATTCAGCCAGAGACCCCCAACAGGCTTGGCTGCCGCACAGAGGGGGTGTCACGTGTTCCTGGAGAGTGGCCACCGGCCTGGGGAGGAGTCACCACCTGCAGGGTGCCGGGCGGGCATCGGGG